ATATTAGGAATGTAAGCTTACAATTATCTTGAGAAACTGCTGCCTGTGGTATCCCTCACAGGTGTTTCCTTGTCTTTGATCTGCATCTGTGAACTGCTTATAGCAAAAATTCCTGTGCATGGTCTTTGGTCACTGTAAGGCCAAGAATTCAAACCCATCAATGTTGTAATAGTTAAGAAACGATGTCAAATTTCCTTGGCCCCAGGTAACCTCAGCTCAAGGGCCAGAATTTTAGAGCGATAGCTCATCTCAGTCTGCCGGCAAAAATAAACCTGAGTTCTCCAACCACATAAGCGGAGAGGTCTCTTGCTGAATGCAATTTCCACATCAGAGGAGACCAGAGGAAATAAGGAAAGTGACAAACTCAAGAATTCAAGAAGGGAAGCTTCAGAAACCCAAATGCCAGTTGACAGGTGAATGGAGGAGGAAAATGTGGGATATGCGCACAATGGGATATTATTCAGCCTTGAAAAGAAGGAAATTCTGACATATGATACAACATCGATGAGGCTTGAGACATTACACTAAATGAAATAGGCCAGTAAGAAAAGGACAAAGACCATATTGTCCTATTTAAATGAAGTATTTAAATAAGTCAAATTCATGAAAATAGAAAATAGAAAGTTGGTTGCCAGGGATTGGAAGAAAGTAGAAATAGAGAATTTTCCAATGAATATGGAGTTTCAGTTTTGCATGAAAAGTGGTCTAGGGGCTGGGATTGTGGCTCAGCAGTAGAGCGCTCGCCTAGCATGTGCGTGGCCCTGGGTTCGATCCTCAGCACCACACAAAAATAAATGAATGGAATAATAGTATTGTGTCCAACTACAACTAAAAAAATAAATATTAAAAAAATTGGTCTAAAGGTCTGTTGCACAACAATGTGAACACACTTCATAGTACTGAAGTGTGCACTTAAAAATGATTAAGAGGGTACATATTATAGTATGTGCTTTTCACCACAAATTCAAAAGATAAAAATAATTTAACAAAAGTTAGCAGGTATTGGGCTGGAAATGTGGTTCAATGGTAGAGTGATTGCTTAGCATGCACGAGACCCTTGGGTTCAATCCCAGTACCATAAATTATATTACATTTTTTTTTTAAAAAAAGAAAGAAGTAGTAGGGAAAAGTGGCCAGCTGAATTGAGTGATTGAATATGTTGAGGGCAGAGAGTTATTATATACATATTTGTGAAGGTGGAAAATATCAGTGTTGTTTGTACATCTGTTTTCTACATCATACAAAGGGAGAAACTGGATTGAGAAAGAACTTCAAGGTTAGGAAGAGGAGACAGCCTGTATGGAAGGTGCTCAGAAGTGTAGGTAGGAAGGAGGACTTTGGATGGGGTCGATAGGAGGATGAGGGGAAAAGGAAGAGTCCTGTTTGGCTCTGTCTTGTTTATAAGGGGAGATGCTGAGCACATTTGAATGTTGGTGAGATAGCCCACTGTCCAGGAGGAGAGTGACAGTGCAGGAATAGGAAGTAAGTCTGAAGTGTGTGGTCCTTGGGGAGGGACGAGGAGATAGGGACGGAGCCTCTGTGAAGGGACCAGTTTCTAGAAAAAGACAGACACTCCTCACAAGACAGGAGGGAAGCAAGAGAAGGCAGGAGCACGTGCAGGTGGGCTTGGGGCTGAGAAGTAAATGAGTCCCCATTGGATGGCTTCAATTTTCTCCTTGAAATGCTGGGTAAGGCTGTAGATCAGACTCGACAGAGAAACCCAGTAGATGTCATTAGTCATCTGGGACTGTGGGAAACGAGTCTGAATGTCAGTATTGGACAGCTGCCAGCAGTGGCCATGGAATTCATTGTTTTAAAGTGAAACTGCCATAGTTTATCAATCATGAGATGCACATTTTTTAATCGTTGACTTGGGGATATATTTGGAGCATTGTTTCATAGCTTCCTAGCATTGTTTCAGTTTATCAGCATGTTTTTTCCCCCCCCTCAGGGGTTCATAAAGCAACAGACATCTTATAACCAGTGGTACCTTAGAGTCAGTAAAATATAGTAGATGTCTATTTTCTGCAATTTTATCCCTGCCAAGCTCAATTGCTTGTGTATAGGCTTGGAGAAGGTATTTCTTTCATGTTTGCATTTAAAAAATAAGGTAAATAGACTTGAGGACTCAGTATGCAGCTCAGTGCCTAGTATGTAGGAGGCCCTGGATTCCATCCCTACCACCTGCATATATGTGTGTGGGCATGTGCACGTGTACACACACACACACACACACACACACACCTCTTGAATCATCAGTCTGGATTTTAGTAAGAAGCCAGTTTAGGGTCCCTAAAGAATGACAGCCACAACAGGGACTACTTTTCTGAGCAGATGAATTTGAGCCAAAACCTGAATGATGAGGTGGTGCCAGCCTCGTATACCATGGTGGCCAAGGGAGGACCTGGGTCAGGGTGGCTGGACATGGAAAGCATGACAGAGCAGGAGATACTCCAGGAGAAGGGTGAGTCAGCCAGGTGTGAGGCTGTGGGTGGAGATGGGTGGAGCCCTTTAGGCTTCAGTATAGATCAACAGAAAGGAAGGGCCTGTGAACCAGTTTGTATAGCTGGAGCAAGATGAACAGGACAGAGCAGGTGACAGTCTTGATGGAAATGACTGCAGAGGGGAGAAAACAGAATCTAGCAAGACAAATCAATGATAAGGTATATGTAGGCCAAAGAAAGGGGTGCTTGGCTTCATCTGGGTCTTAGGAAGAGGTTTCCTGTAGAAAGAATTGGGTTGAACCCTGACTGAACACCAGGCATGAGTCAAGAGAAGAAGGAGGGAAGTCCTAGGTAGAGGGCACAGTATGCAGGAAGGCTGGGAGGCTGGAAACCAGAAGACAAACCCTCAGCAGGGAACTACGTGGGTACAAAGTGTCAATTCCAGCCTGGCTGGTGAAGGGGCTAGAGCTATGTTGGGAGCCTTGCTTTATTTGGTGAAGGCTGGCCAGTTCCTGTCTTTGAAGAAGTCAGGAGTCCCAGCTCTGGAAATAATAGCTGAGTTGTTTTTCTCTTTTGTATAGTGTGGGGTTGGGCTGAATGATCCATTAAGAATACTTACATCTTTTACATTCCTTGTTTCTAGTACATGCTTAATAAAGTTTTCTAAGCAAATGAATTAGGAACAAGTTTCAGTCTTTCCTGCTGCCCAAACTTTGCTCATCAATAGAAACAGAATGTGTCTCCCTGGCCTGGTCTGGCCCTGTGTGTCCTACAAAGTGGCTCCTGACACAGCCTCCAACAGCCTCTACATGCTTTGAGTGACTTGTACATTTTCCTTATGTATGTATCTGCTTCCAAATGCACAGTGAGCTCTTGAGAGGTCAGAGGTCATATTTTAAGTATATGTATCTCCACAGATATGTGACACAGTGAGAATTGTGTGTGTGTGTGTGTGTGTGTGTGTATCATGAAAACATGATTGATAAGGATGTGTCAGTGTAAGTTCATCAATTTTAACAAATGGAACACTCTGGTATCGGGATATTGTTTTTTGCTGCTATGACTAAAGGACCTGACCAGAACAACAATAGGGGAGAAAAAGGTTATTTGAGGGCTCACAGTTTCCGAAGTCTCAGTCCATGAAGGTTGGCTCCACTCCCCAGGGCTTGAGGGGAGGCTGGTGGGAGAGTGTGATGGAGGGAAGCAGCTCACATCATGGTGATGAGGAAGTAGAGAGGTTCCACTTGCCAGATACAAATATATATCCCAAAGCCACACCCTATTCCCACCTCCTCCAGCCACACCCTACCACTTCAATTACCACACAGGCAATCCCTATCAGGGGATTAATTCACTGATTGTCTTATCATTTCTCCTCTGAATCTTCTTGCATTTTCTCACACATGAGCTTTTGGGGACACCACATCTAAACCATAACAGATGTTGATAATAGGTGAGGTTGTGAGTGTTTGGGATGGGGGTATAAGGAAAATATCTGTACTTTTAGCTTAATTTTGCTTAACCTAAAAATTCTCTAAAAGATAAAGTCTGTTTAAAATATATATATATATATATATATATATATATATATATATACTTTTTTTTTTTCCCATCAGAGGGATGAACTTGAATGGTACTCAAGGGATGAATATTACTCCCCAACGGGATTTCAAATCTAGAGTTATTGAAAAATAAAGTAAGCACCTGTGGACTTTCCCTTCCTGTTCTGATCACTTCCTAGGAGATCCAGAAGAGTCTAAGACACAAAAGGAAGATGGAGCGGGGGAAGGATTAAAAATGAGGGGTGTTTCTCACTATGTTCTAAGAACTTCTTAGTGAATACTTAAAAATAATGCTATACCCTAGATAAACATGAAATTAGTTTTTTAAATATGGGATTAGGGGTACCAAAAAGTCCATGGAAACTTTAAAGAGTTGGAAAAGATTTTTGAGTCTTTCAAGTTTTAAAAAACAATGTCATCAATGCTGCTGCTTTTCAAGAGACTTTGTTCTTTTATCAGTCAGTATAGGTTAGGTTATGCTGAGGTAAAAAGAGCCCCCACATATCAGTAACTAAGAACAATAATGAGTAACTTGTTCTCATACCCATTGTGGGTTGACAGGGGCTTCTGCTTATCACAGTCATCCAGTGACCTGGGTTGAGGGAGGAGCTACCATCTTGAATTGCTGGTCACCATGATAGAACTCTTTTTGTGACTCCAGACAACCACAAGGAGGTTAAAAATTGCAGTGCAATTCATGCCAGTTACAGAGCCCCAAGCATAGACACTGTGGTTTTAATATTCCACCTCCAGGCTTATAGGAAGAATTGTAAGGATGAAATAAGTATGTCCAAGTACCACAGATCCCGTGCCTCCACTACAGACTGGATCCCTTGCCAAAGACAGAAGCCTTTGCTTTTTGTGAGTCTCGGTGTGTCACCCAGTGTGTGATTCATCCATTCCCCAGCACCGTGCCCCTCCCACTTTGGGAGGTGTTCCCCAAGCAAGACTCATCCTGTCAGGCTGTAGCACCTCTGTGGAGGGCAGGCCCCAGCCCAGCTACCTCCGCCTGGGGATCTGCCATTTGGGGCTAAATTGACTGCTTAGAGGAGCTGACGCCTGGCCTGCTGATTTGAAAAGAGATATGGTGAAGGAAAGCCACTGATGGCCGCATGTCTCCAGCTGCCAGGGAGTAGAGGAATTTACCTATGACTTTGTCATAGGCTGGCCACAGTGAGTAGTCCCATGTCCTCCTTCTTTTTCCAGTGACTTGCTTTGGTCAGGAATTTCAGAAATGAGCAGCCAATTATGATTCTATAATAGTGGGGCTTTGGTAATTTGGGGGCTTAATTAATAACATGACAGTGAGTAAGTATTAAGAAGGAATGTGATAACTTTGAAGCTCTTTACATAACTCATTAAGAGCACCAGCCTGGTTATGAGCATATTTTTGTTTACATTTATTTTTCTGAGCTCCTCTGATTGCCATCCAAATTTCACAATATGGGAAATTAGAATCTCTAACTGACTTTTTTTTTCTTTCTGGTGATCTCCAAGTGGTTAAGTGCAAATACAGAGGTTAATGAACCATTGTTATCATTTTCCCTCATCATTCTTTATAATGTTTTATCCACAATATTGATTTCTTAATAAGGTTCACCAACCTTGAATTTGGAAGCCAAAGAATTATTTTTTTCACCTCCTTAAAAAAACCTTCAATTCCATTGACTAACAAGTGCACTGAGATCTCTTGATCCTAGACATTCTTTTCTTTAGATGATGTGAACTTTGAGGAGATTTTTCTTGGTTTGAAAGATTTTCTTTGGGTCATTTTTTTGTGTTGTGGGAGAGTGTACCCAAACACCTAACTTTCTGTCATCTTGCACACTATTCCTTAAAATAGTCTTGCAATTGACCCCTAACTTTATTTCTTCTTTTTTTTTCTGAAAGAAGCTTTGTAAATATTTGAGTGCAAATTTTAAAAGTTGAGTTTTGCTTCAAAATTTTATCCTTTGAATTTTGACAAAATGGGTCTCCCCCTTAAAAAAAGCTTCCTGAGAAAAGGGTGAGGTTTGAATTTATCTATTATTATTATTATTATTATTATTATTATTATTTGCAGTTCCTCCTTCAAAATTTATTCATATTCTTATCATTTGGAAAAATCAACTTCTTGGTAGTTCTGATAAATGATTTTAAGCATATTTTAAACTAGTGATTATTCTTAATAGACTAAAAACCTTGTCTTTTATGTCTTTATGGATTGTATCCTAAGATCAGGGAGGTCTAAACCCCCTTTCAACAATATTGGTATAATATACAGTTAAAGCATCATTGTCACTTTGCAGAATGAATGAAAAATTGTAAACAGAAACCAGAACTCTTATTTAGAGATAATGAGCTCAGGGGACAGTTCAAAGCCTGGAGACTGGTTGGTCTTTCTAAAGTTGGACATGAAAGGAGGGCACAGGGCATGGGGATAGAAATGATTTTCCCTGAGTCCAGGCAATAATGGAGTGCTTTCTCTGTAGATAATATTTCTAAACATGTTATCAGTAGGTTCTGGCAGTTCTAAACCATGTCAGTGATAAAATACTGGCCTCGTGGGCGGACCACAGCCACCTCCCTTTTGCATGGGCATTGCCTCTGATGAGTGAGATTTGACTTAATTCACCAATAGAAAATAGTTTATCTTAGCACACGGAAGATCCATCTGAAAACCTATAATTTAGCAGGTGGTCCATTAATTCCATTTTCATGGGAATTCATGGCTTTCTGGATTTGTTATTTTTATATATTTCTGTTAACATAATAGCCATTAAAAAGCTGTAAGTATCCAACAACACCTGCTTTTATTTTTATTTAGGGATGAGGTTATAGAAAGTTGCTTCCTCTGCATATTGTTCTTAAGTCTTTTGACATCGATGATAAAACAATCACAATAGCTTAAACCCAATAGATGAATCTGTTATGGTGATACTCAGGCATCTCACAGAACACAGCACAAGAGACAGGGTCCTGACTCTTCGTTTTCCACTTCAGTCTTTCTTGCTACATCGATTTCATTTTTCTCTGTCCTTTCTGTAGTTGGGTTGTTCTTATTTACATATTAACATAACTATGGAGGCTTTTCTCAGTTCTCTATATTAATGTCACCTGTAGGGGCTGGAATTGTGGCTCTGTGGTAGAGCACCTGCCAAGCATGTGTGAGGAACTGGGTTAGATTTATGTGGTCTCAGAACCACATAAAAAATAAAAATAAAAAAAGATACTGTGTCCATCTACGGCTAAAAATATTTTTTAAAAAATATCACCTGGAGAGTTTTAAAAGGCCATTCTTCCCTGAAAATGTTACCACTTAGTGCAATCTAGACCAAGGGTGTTTGCTGTAGGAGTCTTCCAATTTTTCAGTAGGAATGAAAGTGATATTACTCAAAATAAAAAGTTTTGGTGGAGGTAATCTGAGCCTTGCTCCCAGATATTCAGATCCAATGGGTCTAAAGTAGGGTCCAGACACTGCTATGTTTTAAAAGCTCCCCTGGGGATCCTAATATATAATCAAAGCTGGAAATCGCTGCTATGAACTCTTCTCTTTTTTAGCTTCTCTCAGTGAAGAGAGTGAGTTCCCTCTCTTTTTCCCTATCCAAGTTTCCAAATTCCTGGGCTGCAGACTGATGAGCCCAGCTGATGTTATCCCCCAATGCAGTGGGCCCCAGTGAGGCACGTTATTTAAATGGCAGCACACCTGTGGTTTCCAGACAAGCGTGCGTGGGGCAAGGGAGAGCCTAGGCAAGTAATTAGTAATAATAATGATAATAATAGTGCTAAAAATAATAGAGTCCAGCATATTCCTCCAAAGCAAGGCAAAGGGAATCCTGAACTGCTAAACTTGAGAACAGGTGGCAACTGTTGCTAACTATTATTGTAGCTATTGTTTTTTCAAATTATATCTTTGTTTGAAAGAATGCAATGACGAGAATTATTTTTTCTTAGTTTGAAAATTTTAATGGACCAAACAAATAATTTAATATATTTGATAACAAAAAACACAACTCTATCCATATCAGACTAGTCCTTACAAGTTGTGATGCATAAAATGATGTCTAATAACAAATATTATGAGGTATTTTGCTGGACATAATGCTCTAGTTGTAGCAGGTATAAATTTTACCCCACAGCACACTAAAATTTAAAAATATCACACTTCTTCAAAGATTCTCTGAATCAGCTAAGAGGCTCTGCATCTTCCTCAGTCCCCTTCTTTCCTCCCAGTGATTTTGCAGAAAATTCCATTGTAGTCTTGTGTCTGGAGGCACTGTCCCTTTGCTAAGTAATAATTCTGAGAGTCTTAAATAGTCTCAAATTGTCGTTGCAGCTGGAAGAGAGTGGGACCATCACTTCTATGCAAACTGAGTATTGAGACTCTTTATGGTCCCTAATGATTTGGATCTCAGAGTTTTGTTCTTTCTGCACCCTGAGCCACCTACGAGGTCCTCTCACCTCCAGAGGCATCCGATTGGGTGGTATATATGAGCTGATGACTAGGGAGTCTGCCAATAACCTGTCCAAAGTCAAACACCAGGAGAAACCTCTTCTTCCTTGGCCCAAATCTCTCTCTTTTCCCCAGTATTCACTCACCATCACCTTCTGAGACAAGTGTGTGCATAAAACACATGGGTAGGAATTGTATTTGGGTACCTAGTAGTTTATTTTGATATACCTAGTAGTATATATAAAAGCATTTAATATCTACTGAAGCAGGGAACTTAAAGCTCAGAACTTAAAAAAAAAAAAAGTTCCAAGAAGTTAGCCAGACAGACACAATCTCAAAAGGTTGTCCAAAGGGCTCTAAGCTCAGAACCCTCTCTTGAAGGTGGAGAGGGACAGCCAGGAGGGCATCTCCATGCTTCGGTGGATGGCACTGAGGAAGGAAAATGAGGGAGTCATGATGCTGATGCAGAATGTCTAAATGGTGACATGTTCCCTGCTGGTTTGAGGAGAGAACTTGGGCTTCTTGTGGCAACAACTGGACTTTGGAAGACAGAAAGTCTCTGTGATTCCTGAAGAAACAGAGCTGGAAGGGAGAGGAGGAAGAATATATGATGAGGGAAAAGCCCCTGAGAAGTGGCAGAAACTGGCCCAGACAGAGCAGCTAGTTACCCGCAAGGAGAGCAGGACCAGATGTCACCACATGGCAAAGCTGGGGTGGGCACAGCGCCCAAAGACCAGCACGATTGCACATCTCAGCAGAGGCTGGCAGTGGGGGGTGCATCTTTGGATGTTTATTTCCCAATGCTAGGACATTGTTCCAGAAAAGAAAAGAGGAGGAAAAGAAGGAGGAAACCCTTGAATTAATCAAAAGAGGCTTAGTTTGAACCAAAACTCAATGAGTTTCTTTGTATGGGAAAATTTTCCACCATTGGCTCAAATAAGGATTGTAGTGCTAATTAGGTTCAGTGACAGTTTGAGAACCAGTCACATCGGTGCCCACCTAGTTTTGTGACAGCAGCACATGTTCATGATATTTGTGTACTTATCTTCTGTGTAGACATTGGGTATTGGTTCTTCTCCACGATTTATCCAGAAGGCTTTGCTGTCTCTAGAATGCTGGCTGCACCTTGGATGTCCTTTTCACCTTGTTCTTAGTTGCTGTCCTGGAGTCTTTCTCCCATAAAGCCATTTCAAAATGTATTTGATGCAAAAGTCCCTTCATGCTCCAGAGCCAGATTCTAAATAAAGCATCATTTGAAACAAAACCATCAATGCCCCAACCCTGTACTCATTCATTTAATCATCCAGAATGAGAGAAAAAGTGATATTTTCAGACATACAAAGATTAAGAGAGTTTATCACTCACTGATCTTCATTAAAGGGAGTCTGAAAGTGTATCTTCTAGTAAGAAGGAAAAGCAAATATAAGGAAAAGAAATATAAGAAAGGGGGAAATGAGCCTTCGATTTGGAGAACTGAAGAGACAGAAATACCTTCTGGTCGTAAAAATTAGATAGCTCCCTATGTTCATATAGCTTTTTTACTTTTGAACATCTATTCTTTTTCCTCTTTCTTTTTATAAAGTAACCACAAACAATTATTCGTAAGTCTCTCATGTCTATTATTATCTCCATCTCTACATCTGTGCAAAGAGAGAGGAAGACAGATAAATACTAAATGAGATAGAGCTGATGTTTGTAAAGAACCCAAACACCAACTTGTTGTCCAGTTAAAATGTAACTA